CGTGGAGCTCCCATCTTTGTGGAGAATTGATTAGGTTTTTTCAGAAGGCATGTTCGCAAGACGTGGCTCTGGACTCCCTTCAGGAAATGAGCTTTTATGGGTCAGAGAAGTCAGGGCAGCTGAGGGTCCAGGGAAACAGTCTCATGGTGAAGGTCCCTGAATGCACAACCTAGTGCACCTTCCAAATGTGTTGGTCAGCAAGTCCCATCACGGCCAGCCCACTTGGCTGCTCATCCATCCAACAATTCTGCTGAGCACCCCACCAACTTGGGTGGCTACTGAGGGGCTTCCTGCCCACTGCCCAGAAATCTTCCCTGCTGTGCTGCTGGGGGTTGCCTTGGAAGTGGCATCGCTTTCCTGAAACATAGAAACATAGAAACAGAGCGAGTCAGAAGGGGCCTTCTGGGCCATCTAGCCTGACCCCTGGCTTCAGCCAGCTCCGCTCATGACATGCCATGCCTATCATGTGCATGTCTAGCCTATCCTTGAACACCATCACTGCATCATGTCGTTGCAAAGAACGGGAACACTGAATGCACTGGACTGAGCTTTATGGAATGGGAAAGGGAGAGAAATGCGCAGCATGGCGTGCAAATTAGGATGTGACAAGTACCTCTCAGTTTCCATTCCTGAAAGATGGGGAGGACACACCTGGGCTGAAGTGCCTCTCTTCTGAAAATTGTCCCATTCTGAGGCCCACTGGGGATGTGAACAGCCAGGTGATGTCAAAGAGCCAGGTGGAGTTGGACTGTGTTAAGTCCATCAAGGGACATGTGTTAGATGTAGATCCAATGCCAGTGACCCTCTTGGATCAGGGCTGCTGTAACCAGGACCATGGACAGGTCAGTGTGGGTGTTGCTGGCTGGCACCACCTCCAGGAGACACATAGGCAAGGAATTGTCTCAGCAGGGAACCCCAGCCAGCTGAAGCCTTGGCAGGCACAACCAGCTCCACTTCTAGAGGATATGACAAATTGTGCCTGATTTTGCTGGCCGGGATTTCATATGCAGGTATGCCTTGTCGAATCCATTGCCACCAGGTTTTCTGCTTAGCTGCATCCATTCTAAGGAATTTGTCCTGGTGAATCCAGGGTATTTTCAGGGCCAGCCTGCCGGACTGCCACTAACCTAGTCCATGGAGCCATGCAGGTTATGGATGCATCCACCGTGTGTGGTTGGATTCACATGTAAAATATTGGAGGACACCTTCTAGTTGCAGGGGCCTATATTTGCAGGCTGGTGCACAAGAGACAAAGGCCAGGCTTTCGTGGCCTTTAAGGTCCTCCCATGATCTCCCCTGAATCAATCGCTATCCTTCCCTAACCAAATACCTCCCCCCCACATGCACACCCAACCAATGGGGCAGAAAGATGCCAATTCCATGAGAAATGCAGGGAAACAGCTCCCGTAAATCCTGTCTGTGGATAAGATCAAGTAGAAAAATGTTATGGCTCTCCATGGGCTCTTTCTGACAAGCTCTGTAATATCTAGCAATCCTTAGCCTACTTGGGGAAACCAGCAGGCCTCAGAGGCTGGGCCAGCAGTGGAAGAAGTGGCTGAAAAGCATCTCAGGTGAGATGCAGGCAGGAGGTGTCATTGTTCCGGGAATCACAGCATAGCTGAAATATTAGTGGGAAACTAGCTTAAGGCCAAATCCAGTCTTGACCACATGGAAATCTCCAATTAATGGTGAGGAATCAGCGTGACAGGGTGTCCCTAGCTGGAACACCCTCGGAAGGCCCGACTCACTGGAGTAGTCAGTCCTGCTAGGGGAAGTCAAGGGCAGATGATGATGAGGAAAGCCCCCAATTTCAATCACAAAATCCTCCTGGGGCTCAGCAGTGTTGCCTCCAGTTCTGAAATTCCCTTCAGTGCTTGAAGCATTGAGCTTTCAAGTGCCTGATGCCCAGTGGGCAAGGTGGACAAGTGGTGAGCACAAGTGCAAGGGCTGGCTGTGCACAGGGAGCAGCTTCCTTTTGAGACAGCCCTCTGAGGGCCTCCCCCAAGTCAGCGCAAGACAAACGGAGTGCCTGGAGTGACTCGCTCATGAGGAGAGTGTAAGGGTCAGCACGTGGGTGGCAGCTGGGAGAGGCAGAATACTCAACCAGGGTGCTGGTGTGGGACCAGGTCCTGCTGCTTAGTACGGCTGGAGGCTGGCGGCAGGGTCAGCAGTCCAGGGGCAGACTCAAGGCAGCAGGCAGGCCACAATTATACAGCCAAGAGAAAAAGCACAGTCCAGAAAGAGTCCAGGGGCCTGATGCCAGGGAAGCAGTCACGCAAGAGTGGTCAGGACTAGAAGGGGCTGCAATGGGGCAGGAACAACTGGGGCAAGTAAGAACACACAGGAGTAGGGCAGGAGCAGCCTAGGACAAGCAGAATCAAAGAGGAGCTAGGCAGGAACAGACTGGAAGAAGTCAGGGACTAACCAGAACATGGCAGGGTCAACTGGAGCAAGCAAGGACAGAAGGAGCAGGACTGGAGTGACCAGGACTGCTTGACTTGTTTGGAAAAGGGCAGTTGTGCCAGAAGGACTTCTATGCTGGTCTCCAGGCCCTGCAGTTGCACTGCATAATTGCTCTTCAGTTGCTCCCTGCAAGATCCTGTAAGGGTGCTCCTGGTTTTGCTGGATTTTGCGGGGTCGCAGGCCCTGATCCTGACAGAGAGGCTGGGGGAATTCAGGAAGGAGAAAACTCACAGAAACTGGAGGCTGCCCAACCAGAGCTCCAGTGCCCCAAACACCTTGTGTGGAAGGCAGGCTGCTTGAAGGAGGCTGGCTGAAAATGCCTGAATGGGATGGTGTAAATCAGTGGCCTGAAATAGCGGGAAGGTGGCCCCAAGGGACTTCCTGGCCCCTTCCAGCTCTCCTAGTCAATGATTAAATGAAAGGGCATTGTGGCAGAGAGGACCCCGCTGAGGAGGTGGTCTTCTTGCCTGCTGTAAATCCATGGGTGTCTTGTGCCCCCTCCCAAGTCAATGGGCACAGGTCTGGCAGTGCCCACAGGTGGCCTGTGGCAGGAGCAGCAACAGGGCCACTCCACTGCCAAAATGTGCAACTGAGCCAGCTGGAAGGAGGAGGAAGGAGAGCCAAAGTTCTCTTGCATGACTTAGGCTTCTCTGGATGAGTCCTGACCACTGCAGCCGTGTCTCAAAGGGGGTGATGAATCACAAAATCCAACATCTCTCCCCACTCATTCTGAGCAGCCCACGACTGATTCCAATGCACCGTACTAAGTCCCAGAGTCAATGATTCCCATTGGAGCAGAAGAAAAGGGGTAGCACAGGAGACAAGGGGAATTACAGGCCAACGAGCCTAACACCCTTTCTGGGAAACATGGTGGGAAAACTCATAGTAAGGAAAGTGCTAGAATGCCTGGAGAGGGAGCGGGGTTTTCATCCACTCAACATGGCCTCTGCAAAAGCAGGTCCTGTCTGAGGTATCTTGTGAATTCTATTACAAGGTTTCAAGGTGGCTAGATTGCAGGAACGTGTTGGAAGCAGTGCCTTTGACAAGGTCCTACATGTTATCCTTTTTGAGAGATTGATGAGCTTCAGGATAGATCATGGCACTGTCTGATGGATTGGGGCATGGTTGACAGACCACAAACAGAGGGTGACTATCAATGGGGAACCATGAGGATGGCCGGAAGTAATGAGCAGAGTTCCGCAGGGTTCAGTTCTGGTAACCACTCTGTTCAACCCTTTAATCTATGACTTGGAGGAGGGGATGAACAGTATGCTGATGAAATTCATGGACAACACCAAAATGGGGGCAGTGGTCACAACTGGGGATGAGGTGATCCAGCTTCAAAGGATCTGGACTGTCTGTGGAAGTGGGTGGGGGACCACAGAAAGGTGTTCAATACAGAACAGGGCTAAATCTTGTACTTGAGAATGAGGAATATGTGCAATAGTTACAGGACGATGGACAATTGGCCGGAGAGTGGCACTTGAGAAAGGCATCTTGTGGTACTTTTCAGAAGCAGGTTAAACATGAGGCCATATTATGATGCAGCGGTTAAGAAGGCAAACACCACCCCTGAAGAAACAAGGCTTCCAGGTGGAGTACATGTTGATACCACTCTATAAGACTCTGATGTGCCAACAATTTTACAATTGTGTCTTATTCTGGGCTCCACATTATAGGAGTAGCATAGCAAGATTAGAATTAGTTTAGTGTAGGGTACAAGGATTGTGGCCAGCTTGCAGAGGGTGCCATATGAGATGAGATTGAGGGAGCTGGGTCGTTTTAGCCTGTAGAAAGGGACACTCTAAGGGCATCTTATAACAACATTTAGGGATGTGAAGGGTCATCACACAGTAGAGGGGTGTGACCTGTTTTCCCCTGTGGAGGAGGAAATGACACGACACAATAGGGCAAAATTGGCTTCAGGTAGGTTGTCAGGAAGTATTTCTTGATGGTCAGGACCCCGAGGTCAGGGAATGGGCTTCATGGGAGGTTCTGGGGACCCCATCAGAGAGGGTGTACAGGGAAAGCTTGGACAAGCACATGTCGGATATTACATCATCTGAGCTGACTGGAGCTGGGGTTTAGACTAGAGGTGTGGAGGGCTCCTTCTGACTCCCTACATTTCTATAGTGTCTCTTTACCTCAGCAAAGCCTTTGACAAAGCACCCCAGCATATTCTGACCAGCAAACTAATGAGGAGAAATGAAAGCAGGGTACGGTCCTGTGGCCAGTGCTGTTCAATGTTTTTATTAATGAAGACAAAAAGACATATAAAATGTTCAGTAGATTTCCAGATGACACAACAGTGGGCAGCAGAGCTAGCAGTCCTGAAGGTGGGCAAATTTTTAAGTAATTTTTATAACTTGGAGAGCTGGCCTGAAAGCAACAGAATGAAATCTAGCAGGGATAAAGATCAAGTTTTGAACCTAAGAAAAAGAAATCAAATGCAGTTTTATGAGATGGGAGGTACTTGACTTTCCTCTGCTGCATGTGAGAAAGGTCTGCGAAATGAATTAAGAGGTATTCCTGCTGGATCAGATGCTCTGCTTTGTTTTTGCTGTTAGATGCTCCTTTTTATTCAGGTCAGGCCTCAGTAAGATAATGTAGCACTTGGGGAGGAAGATGCAGCCCAGCAGCCCAGCACCAGAGGCCATGATGGAGAAGATCTGCACAGCCCCCACATACTTACCCCTGGTGCTCAGGTAGGTGGGCACGAAGGACACCCAGACACTGCAGAAGACCAGCATGCTGAAGGTGATCAGTTTGGCCTCATTGAAGGCCCCAGGCAGCTTCCTGGCCAGGAAGGCCGCCAGGAAGCAGGTGGCAGCCAGGAAGCCCATGTAGCCAAGGTCAGCATAGAACATGGCCACAGAGCCTTCGTTGCACTGCAGGACAATCTGCCCAGTCTGGGAGTATTTGGCTGAGTCAGGGAAAGGTGGGGCAGTGGCCAGCCAGGTGGTGCAGATGACAACTTGGATACTGGAACAGGAGATGACAATGGAGTTGGCCAAGCTCTTCCCCAGCCATCCTCTCACCCTGTTGCCTGGCTTGGTAGCCACAAAGGCCAGCACCACAGTGATGGTTTTGGCCAAGAGAGAAGAGACGGCCACTGAGAAGATGATGCTGAAGGCTGTTTGTCGGAGGAGGCAAGTCACCTCACTTGGCTTACCAATGAAGAGGAAGGAGGACAAGAAGCAGAGCAGGAGGGAGATAAGGAGGATGTAGGAGAGGTCCCGGTTGTTGGCCTTGACAATTGGGGTTTCGAGGAATTTAACAAAGAGTCCCAGCACGAGTCCTGTGGTGAGGGATAAGAATAGGGTCAAGCAAACCAGGCTGATCCCCAGAGGTTCTTCATACGTGAGGAACGTGATGGTCTTGGGGATGCATCCATCTTGGTCCTCATTTGGGTGCTGATCTTCTGGGCACTGGCTGCACTGCTCTGCATCTACAAGGAACAGAAGTGACATTTCCCTCCCTGTTCTACAAGGAACTCTATGATTTTGTTCTCTGCTTCAATGAAGCCACTTCTTTCCATTCATGCACATCTGCTGTAGTGGAAAGTGCGGTTGCCCAATCCCAGATAAACCCAGTCCCACTTCTTCCTGAGAAACACCCACTGGGTCCCTTCCCTTTGATTTTCCCCTGACCCACGAGGCAGCTTTGGATGGATGCTGTAGAGGGGGAGGATGGGCCCACGTGCTTAGAGTTTCTGGGCTGTCAGGCCCTGTCCAGGGGCCAAAGGATCAGGTCTTTCAGGTCGGAGGGGATACTGATCATACTGCCTCTGCTACTGGGTGGGACAGACCTGGATGGAGTGAACCTTCTCCCTCATGGAGGGCCTCTGAGAAGATGTATTGGACTGGTATCTCAGCCAGTTAAATGCATAGATGGCAGGGTGCCTCATTTTTCTCCTTTACATTGCTTTTTGTTTCTGTGAACCACCACAAGAGTCTGGCTAAATGGCAGCTGAATAAATAAACCTAACTACTTGTCCATAATGATTCTTCAGCTGGCCCTGGTCTTGGCAGAAGTGTAAGCCATGGAAAATGTCACAGAGCTGCTTTAGAGTAGGGCTCTGCTTTCACCCTCTCATTCTGGGTTGCTCTCTCTCATTCGCAGGGAAATGTCTTGAAATCTGCAGGTAAGCCCTTCCATCCAATATCTGAGAGTTCACCCACTGCCAGCTGTTTAGTTGAGCCCATCATTGAATACTTTTGCAGGGGAAGTGCAAGTTGCACCCACTGCTGATCTGACCACTGCAATCAGAGACACAGGAAGGGGGCCCCATTTGAAGATGCATCGGGGAAAACCTTGAGACAATGTTTTTCCTTCTTAGTAGGGGCTGACTTCTCACCTTCTTGGGCAGAGAAAGTTCCTTCTCCACAGGGGTTGCAGGAGTAACAGCAGGCCGGCTCTCCTTTCTGAACCACCTTGACGGATCCTGGGGGACAGCTCTCCACACACTGGGAGCGGGGTAGGGGCTGAGGGAGATGACAAGAGACTTCAAGACAATCTCTTTTGGCACATTTAGCTACAGGAAGTAGACAGCTGGAAAGGAACCTCAGAATGTCCAGCCACAGATTTTGCAAGGCCTTTTCCCCAGTGCAGACGCTCCCGAGGTCAAAGATCAGGTCCAAAAGGGCTGAGCACTGATGGGATACGGGGGCTCTTTATATGTGTTTCTGAGAAAGTGTGTCTTGGTCCTTCCAGAGCCTCAGCATCTTCCCCAGGACTCCCAGGGATGCCTTATCAAAGGGTGGTCATTGCAGTCAGGGTGCAGCATATGTCATGCCTCCCTCTCTCCTTACACTCCTATATGTGGTACCTGCAGGAATGGAGGCTGCGGGGTACCCATCCTCACACTGGGGTTGTCCTGATGGGCAGACTGAGGGGGAACACAGCCTAGTCTGATGCTCGGGAGATGCTCAGCACTATGACAAGTTAAGGGCTCTTCCCCCACCTTGTTGATCTGTTTGGGCCACTCAGCAGCATCTTTGTTGATCATTAGGGTGAGGTCTCCTGCTCCCTGTCTTTCCAAACTCCCAATTTTCTTATGAAAGATAGACTTATTGGGAAACAGCACCCAGTGCACAATGTCGAAGTCCGCAACCAGCTCCCCGTTCTTGTCCCAAGATGCCCCATCAATGAGGGAAGCATTATAAAACTGGGGGTCCCTCAGGAAACGGTGAAGCTACAAGGGCAGAAGAAGCACCCCCTGTTAGTACTCAGCAAACTGCTTTTAGCCCACGGCCCACCCTCGACTCTTGCCAACTACCAGCTGTATCAGACTCAGGGGGCTTCCTGGGGCTTCTCAACCTTCACAGGGCCTTCCCTAGATCACCAAGCAGATTGAAGGTGGAAAGCACTTCCAGTATACTAATGGAGACCCTTCCAACAAGGTCAGTGTTAAAACTCCTCCTGATTTGGATGAAGCCTCATCCCTGAGAGACAGCCATGGATGAAAGCAGGCTCTGCCACTGCACAGTCCCTCACCAGCAAAGGCACTGACCTAAATTCTAGCAAAGGCTGCAATGGCTCTCACAGCTCAAAAGGGAACTGGGGAGATGTGCTTCATCAGAGGCTGGGGGAGGAGGCCAGGAGGAGCAGGCACAGCAGTAAGAGGTCTCCCTCCAGTGCGAGGCTGACAAGCATGGGAACCCAGGAAAAGCCCGCTGGATCCGACCAAAGGCCCAGCAGTCCATGCATACATGGTGGGGCAGCAGCCCACAGAACCCCACACCCAGGACGTGGGCATGAGCATTCTCAATCAGCTTTTCAGTGACTGGGGTAGGCAGTCAGAGCACATGGGGCTGAGCCAGCAAGAGGTAAGGGCTGGGCCGGTGAGCCAAGTGGATCAGCGGAAATCTCTGGAAGGGGACCAGCAAAGGGAGCATTAGATGGGGGCAGATTGAGTTTGTTTGTTTATTTATTTATTTATTTATTTATTTATTAAAACATTTCTATGCCATTCCCTGAAGCCTCGGGGCGGCTCACAACATGAAGTTAAAATATGAAAAATAACAATATGAAAAATAATATAAAATAAGTAACAATATAAAAGTTGACAGCCGGAAAATTGAGAGCCGGAAAGGGATACCTTTGACAAGGGCCCCACTTGTGACCCTGGTGCTTCCAGCCATGGGGAGAAGGGACATGCTAATTCCACATTGATATATTTGTCCCCCCGTTTTTTCCAGGCTTTCATTCTACTTTAGCAAATTCATTACTCTGGATGAACACATTTGTACAAGTGCAGAAGAAGGCATCAGCACTCACACAAATATATTCTGAATGAAATATTGCTTGAGTTAAAAAGCACACTGCATTTTCCCAAAATCATGAAACTCAGATCAAGTCACTCTGCTGCTGAGTCTGCTGTCCAGTTACAGAGAAATCCACATTCATTCAACTCAGAGAATCACAGAATGGGAGAGGTGGGAGGGGCCCATGGGCCACGGGGTCTAACCACTGTTCTGGGCAAAACTCCAAGTCACACCATACCTGACACAGGGCTTTTCCCCAGCCTCTTGAAAGTCTCCAGGGTGGGAGAGCACACCGCCTCCCAAGTTCACTGGCTGCATTATCAAACTGCTGCAACAGGTAGGAAAGTTTTTCAGTTGTGCAGCCAGAATCTGGCATTTGGCAATCTGACCCTGTGATTCCATGGCCTGCACTCTGGGATGCCTGAGAAAAGATGTGGTAGGTCTCGCTGGGTTCCCCATGCCCTAGCAGGATGAGGAAGAGCTGATGCGAGAAACTCAGAAAGGTACTGCCAGCCGAGGTTGGAGAGGCAAATGGTCTCTCCCTTGAAGGCAGTTTCCAATGCTCCCAGAAAAAAGCACATCTCATCACTCGCTGCAGCACCATGCAGTTCTCAGAGCCAATGTGCAGGATAAGTCTTTCAGGACAGAAGCACAGAGTGCTGGGCTCAGCAAGGAGATCTGCGACATAGTGGGAATACCTGCCAGGGCTGCTGCCTCCAAGTGTCCAGCCTGTTTCCACCTTTCTGCCTCCTCCTTCTCCTGGATCTGGATGATGCAGCAGCATCCATGGCCCGGGCCACAGCCAGGACACTGTTGTAAATAGTTTTACTGTCCAGAGACAGGATCCTTTCCCTCTGCTCTTGTGTTAGGGCATCCCAACTCTCCTTCTCCCTGCATCTTGTCCGGCCCTTTGCAGAAAAGGCCTGCTTTGAATGAAAACACTGAAATGCTTCCCTCACAAACAACTGAAGAGAGTAGGGAAATTTGGAAAAGTGATTAATTGCTTTCTTTTCATTTTTTTGGATAAGGAAGGAAAGTATGCCGTAAATGTTCTCTGAAGGAATCTGAGACACGAGCTCAAAGGAGAAATCCCACACAGCGGTTGTGATCCAGACTTTCCCTGTCAGGGGTTGTCTAAGGTAATCACTATATTTGTGTAGTGTAAGGATGCCCTCTATGAAGGAACTTGTCTCCGCACAATAAACATAAACATTGGGTTTTCCAGATGAGTGAATCCAGGCCTGATGGAGCTTCACATTCTTTGTTCTCAAGGCTGAGATGAATTGAGTGAAAACCACGCACACTCCACTCCTGGTGAACTTGGCGGTCAAGGCCCTCATGCACCTCCCTCCACTGTCGGTGTCTGCTGCAGCCAGGCCCACCAGTGTCCACCGGAAATGCAGGAAGAGCTGGACGATCCCCTCATATGGGGTGGGCTCCTTGGGGACCATCGGGTAGGAGAAGGGGAACTGGCTCTTATCACTCAGGGCATGAGAGGCAAATGCATGGCTGATCTGGCAGGGGAAGAAGAAAGCAGAGGCACGTGCTGTCTCTGAGCAGACTGGAAATCTTGCTCATCCCTTTTTAAGACCACCCAAATTAGGGAACATTTCTGCAGCATATGGTGGTGAGTTCCACAGTTTAAACATTGAAGAAGGGGTGAACCGCTGATCAAATTTGAAGACAATACTAAATATGGGTTTACCTGGATTTCAGCAAGGCCCTTGACAAAGTGCCCCATGATATCCTGGTTAAGAAACTGAGGAGTTTTGGGAAACACCAAAGCACTATCCTGTGGATTAGGAAATGGTTGACTTACCGAAAGCAAAGGGTAACCATTAGTGGGGAATCATCGGGATGGTGACCAGTGACAAGCAGGGTCCCCCAGGGCTCTGTCCTGGGGCCGATCCTGTTTAAACTTTTCATAAATGACATGGAAGAAGGGGTGAACAGTCTGCTTAACAAATTCACAGATGATACTAAAACTGGAGCAGTGGCCAGAATGGAGGAGCAGGTACTCCATATCCAAAAGGATCTGGACGGACTATGGAAGTGGGCAGGAGACAACAGGATGGAGTTCAATGTGGATAAGTGCAAGGTCTTGCACTTGGGGCATAGGAATAGCTGTCATAAGTACAGGTTAGGGGACAAGAGGTTGGAGAGCAGCACTTGTGAAAGGGACCTTGGGGTGCTCGTTGACTGCAGGCTAAATATGAGCCAGCAGTGTGATGCGGTGCTCAAGAGGGCGAACGCCATCCTTGGTTGCATAGCCAGAAGTGTGGCTTCTAGATCAAGAGAGGTATTACTACCACTCTATACAACTCTGGTGCAAATGCAACTGGAGTATTGTGCTCAGTTTTTGGCCCCTCATTACAGGAAGGATATAGCCAAGTTAGAGTCAGTGCAGCATAGGGCCACAAAGTTGGTGGCCAGTTTGTAGGGGATGCCGTATGAGGCGAGACTGAGGGAACTGGGTCTCTTCAGCCTGGAGAAGAGGAAACTCAGGGATATGTTGGCGACATACAGGTATGTGAGGGGATGTCACACAGAGATGGGTAAAGACCTGTTCTCCCCTGCAGAGGAAGGCAGGATGTGCGCCAACGGAGCAAAATTCAGGGAGCCAAGGTTCCATTTAGATGCCAGGAAGCACTTTTTGACAATTAGGACGACGAGCATATGGAATGGGTTTCCAAAGGCGGTCGCTGAGGCCCCATCGGTGAGGGTGTTCAAAGATAAGCTGGGCATGTCATGAGTGGAGCTGGCTGAAGCAGGGGGTCAGACTAGATTGCCCAGGAGGCCCCCTTTCTGACTCGCTCTGTTTCTATGTTTCTATGTGCTTGCTGTGTGCAAAAGTCCTTTCCTTTGGAAGACCAGTTCTGCAACCCTCCCTGTTCACCCCTCCATTTTTCCATTGGAATCAGCAAAGGACAGGTGCCCCGAGGCTGCAACCCCATGGACATTTGCATGGTAGCAACTCCATAGGAGCTCCCTACAGCTTGGTGCGAGACTAGGGCTTTGCAGAGGGACAAAGCTTTTCAGCCTCTCCCAGATGACTGCAGCCCCCTCACACCCATGTCTCTGAACTCAATGTGGAAGGGTCTGGCCGCTACTTCAGCTCCCCAAGAAATGTCAAAGTGGCCCATGACTAGGCCCCCAGATGCCCACCCCTCACCATCCTCACCTGCGGAGTTTTGTAGATGGCCAGCATGGCTGCAATCTGGGTGGAGATGTCCGAGTCGGATCCCTCGAGAACAGCCAGATGCAGAGTCTGCCTTCTGCAGCTGTAGTTGGGCACATTCACCTGCCCCGGAGAGAGCAGGTCCAGCAGGGCGTCTGAATTAAACCTTGCATCAAAAAAGTTGTCGTGAATGGTGTAGCCCAGAGAGAGGTTGGGGAGGAGCCCGGGGCTCTGGTTGACCTCCCGAACAGCAAGCAGGTAGGACAAGATATTCCGACTGTTTGCAGGTCTGTTCCTGAAAACATATATCATGGAATACTATACTCAGTATATTCAGATCTGAGATGGTTCAGCTTACAGTAAAGATAAGCAAGGGAAAGGGCTCAAAACTGGAAATGAAAGGAGGTTAAAAGGCAGCCCATCCTTGGGGGATTTAGGAGAGAGGGTGCCCATCTGCATATGCAGAGCCCACAACCTGGACGCACATGCCACTGCAATTCCCAGTTCCTGGCAACTGACAGATGCAGGCACAGTGCTGCTGGTACTGGAGGCTCGTCTGGAGGAGGAAGCCATGCCAGCCAGAGGTTTCCTGCCATGTTTTCTGGGATTAGAAGCCAAGCAGCAGTAGAATGTCTGGTCGTACACAACTCTGCTTCCCAAAGTGTCTCCCAGGAGCTGCTGCACATGAAGCAGCAACTTTGTTGAAGATTTGTGCCAGGAGGGGCACCAGATGTCCACCCAGAACCCTGGGTGTTTGGAGAGAAGTGGACAGTTATGGGGAAATGAAATTGGCAGAAAGTAAGGAAAAAGTCCATTCTGTCACCACTTCATGGCTAACCAGGCAATACGCTTGCTGAAGGGGATTCGCCCGAAATGCTCCACATCCTGAAAGGTCAAAATTCTTGCAGAGATTACCCCACCAATACGGGGGTCTCCTGTCCTTTGATAGCTGGAAGGGTTCGCTGTAACCCTCTCCAATGTCAGGGGACACTTGGCTGCCAACCTCCCACAGGTTTCCCAGGGCTGCAGCAGCAGCAGGAGCAGCAGCAGCTGTGCCAGCTCTGGGGTCATCCCGGCTCCCTGGCTCAGTGCCCGTTCTCCCCTCTGCAATGCAGAAGCCCCTGTGGAAGTGGCTGAGCCCCCTGCAAGGTTCAGCTCCCTGACCGCCCCTGCGGAGAAGGAGTCTGGCCAGGCAAAACTTCTTTCTGACAGAGATGGGGGAAGGAAGGTGCGCAGCATGTTAGCAGAGGGTCAAGCTCTGCCAGGGCTTTTACATTGTCACCTTCAGGCTCATGTGCAAGACGACAATTCTCCCCACTGCTCCAGAATCCCTTGCTTGTGTCAGAGGCCCCTGGGGAAACCGCTTGAGTCCGGGCAGCAGGAGGAAAAACAAATCACTCGGATTGTGGTAATTGCCAGTGGAAACCACCTCTCCTCTGAGACACCCCAGTTCCCTGGGCATCTTTGGTCACATCCAAAGAAACCCACTGCCATGAATGCCCTCATAGGTCTCCTGTGTGCTGGGGAGGCTTGATCAGGTTTCTGTGGGGAGGCTCATTCGGAATCAGCAGCTCAGGACCCCCTTCAGGGAAGTGTCTTCATGGGGTTGAGAGGTCAGGGCAACTGAGTGTTCAGAGGACTTGTCCCGTGAAAAGGGTCCCTGAATGTGCAACGTAGTGCACCTTCAAACGCTGTGGCCTGCCAGTCCCATCATGCCCAGGCATGTGGCTTCTGACTCATCCAAGAAACCTGCAGAGCACAGACCAACTCAAGGCCTCTGGAGGTCCCCTTGTCCTGTGCCCAGGGGTCTTTCCCCTAAACCAGGGTGGGCAACTTTCTTTTGCTGGTTGGGCTAATCCACTGTGCCCATGTTCATTTTTGTCAGACCACTGGGATCCAAGCATTGCCAGCAAGTCCTTCCCTGCCTTTGTTGCTCAGTCCCCTCTAGTTGACACTGTGGAGTGGTGGAATTGCAAAAAAGGCACAAGTGGGCATCCTGCGTATTTTGCCTGCAAATTTATATGCAACATTTTGCCTGTTCAAACAGGAGCCACTGAATATGCTGGTCTCACCCCACTTTTTGCCTCTGCCCAGTTTGAGAAGCTGCCATTGACGAGCATTCTTTGGCTCCAACTCCATCGAGCCCTCGCTTTGCTAGTTTAGCAATCAAGATAGCATGCAGAATCAAGAATTCAAGGATGGAACTTGCAAAGCTTCTCAACAAGCATGCTTTGGTTGGCAGCAGACCATCCATGGCTAACAACTTGCCCTCTCAACAGGTGAATGATTCCCTGGTCAGAGACTCTCCAGACTCCTGCCGCAGCCTCCTCAGCAAGTCACAGCAGGGCTGGAGCATCCACCATGGAGCTTGCATGCACCCTGGCAGACTGCAGGGAGAGCTCTGGCGGATTGGATGAGGCTCACCTGCCCGAAGTGTGTCCCTTACTCAGAAAACACCAAAATTCCAAGCCAGGTTATGTTTAGCATTCCTGTTCCTTTAAGGCTTTGAAACTCTCAGCTCTGCTGAGAGCTCTGTTCCAGTTCATTCCAAAAGGGTTTGCCATAGTTAATTCCTGTCAATTCTTGTGCTAACTGATAAGGTCAGAGAAATCCTTTTAGCAGCCTTGCAATCACCTTAATTTGCATGGTCCAACTCACAGCCAAGACCCCAATACTCCCTTGGCCTCAGTGATCATTATATCAATCTCCTGTATTCAGCATTATTGTATTAACTCTCCTCTGCAGATCTCTCACACTCTTTCTGACAGTGTTTTCAGTATTTTGTCATCATCTGCCCTGCTGGGCACATGTGACCCAGAACCTAAAAAACACTCTGCATGTGTTCTAAATGTTTGTAGCTAGTTTCACCTCTACCCAGCAGCTCTGTGTGGGTTCCCTGCAGAGGTCTTTCAATAAACTGCAGAGGTACAAGGCAAATGGGGTCTTCTGCACTGAATCCATTTATTTACTCTTGCGGCCACTATTGAGCCACCCTGACAGTTTTGCAATGAAGGTGAGATCAGTGGGTTCCTTTATGTTTAACCTGGGCTGTAAATTCAGCCAAAATCTCCCCCTTTTGGGGAGCACATACTGGCCCTCCTGAGGCTCTTTGGGGATCAGGGGCTAATAGACTGGCAGGTTTAGAACCTCATTGCATGCGGTTTGTTGAAGGGACTCAGAAGGCTTGGGGGTTCAGAGTCTCTTGAGGTTCCCTGATGCACTCTGCTACATGAGGTTGTGGAAGCTTGTGGACTTCCAGGGCAATGCACATGCAAGTGACAGGGAAGTGCTTGTTTTATTTTTTTATTCTTTATACTGCTTGACCCTGATAAACTCCAGCAGGACCAAATTTTAACAAGGCCTAGAGACCCCTCTGGTCTGGAAGGGATGGCTCTGTTTCAGTAGGAAGCTGCTGGACAGCTTTCCTAGGCATTTTGATATTTAATAATCTGGGTTGATCGGGAGAAAAAATTAGGAACAAAAGCTTATAGGCAAGTTGGACATCAGCATGCAAGACCTTGTATTGGTGCATCAGAAAGCACAAAATGAGCAGTTTGTTTAAAGTTCTGCACACGTGAGTGCAGGACATGTTTGCCCTGAGATTTGTGGAAAGCCTTGTGTTCATTGTGTGTGTGTGTTCTGTCTTGTCTGCTTGCATTTTAAAGTCTTCCCCTTTCTGGGAAGTAGGCATAGCCCAGAGTGGGTTTTCTGGGGGGCACCTCAGGGAATAGAAGCTCCCCCATGCAGTTGCATCAACCTTCTTGCTAGGCCAATTGCCTGATGACCAAGAAGAGATGAATGCAAGGCAGGGAAAGACATCTTGCCCCTGAGATGGGAGTACATAAAATCCTTGCCTGGATTGAGAAAAGCATTCATGATGTCAATTCCTGAGTCCAAGCAAGGCAGAGTTCAGGTGGGAAAAAAGGTGATGATCAGGGCATGTGTGTATGTGCCTTTTTTTCCCCTTCCGCCGTCCCACAAAAATGGGCCAGAACCTGGAAGTGAGGAAATGTGTGCACCTTTAAACCACAGGTCCTACCCAGTTTTCTGGACACCCTCAATATACTTATCCCATGTGGAAGCCCTGTGAACAAGGAAGTTATGTAGGGAAAGGCTTCATGCAGGCCCCTTCCTGGCCAGAAACAGGGGTTTTGAGCCACCCCCACCTGCCTAAGGCTGCTCCCCTTTTCTTTCTATAGGACGGAACACTTGCATTTGCAATTGCAGGAGTGGAGGCAGGTGGGCAGATGGTCAGAGGCTGGGGTGGGTGGAGGACAGAAAAAAACTGTTGAGAAATCTCATGGAAACCTCTTTGTGGGGAAAGAAGGTTGTTGAACAAAAGACCCTGAAAGCACTCTCAATGAGGGGCTAAGGGAAGATTTTTTTCCCTTTTTCCCTGGAAGGGAGAACTTCTAGACACATTTCAGTCTGGCTCCAGACTGGGCTATGGAATGGAAACTAACTTGGTTACCCTATGTGATGACCTCTGTAGGGAGAGGGACCGTGGGGGGAAGGCATCCCTGGTGGTTCTCCTGGACCTCTCAGCAGCTTTCAATGCCATCGACCATGGAATCCTTCTGCATAGGCTGGCTGCCCTGGGTATTCTAGGCACTGCCTAGGGGTGGTTCCACCCCCACCTGACTGGCTGATTCCAGAGAAGGTGGGGGGGGGATTGCAGCACTGTGTCATGAGAGTTCTGCCATGGACTTCCCCAGGGATCCATCCTATCCCCCATTCTTTTAACACTACCTGAATCAGCTGGGAGAGATCATCTGAGGGTTAGGGCTGTGGCGTCATCACTATGCTGATGACACCCAGCTATCCCTCTCTTTTGTATCTAGTCCAGGTGAGGTGGTGTCTGTCTTTAACAGGTGCCTAGCAGGGGTAATTGGCTGGATTAGGGCCAATAAATTGAGGCTCAATCAAATTTAAGGTGCTGTTGGTGACCTGCAAAGCCCTGAATGGCTCGGGTCCAGTATGCCCGAAGGAATGCCTTCTTCAGTATGTGCCCTCCCACACCTTGAGTCTGAGGTGAGGGTCCTGCAACAGGAGCCCTCCTTGAAAGAGATAAGGAGGGTGAGCACTCAAAGGGGGGCCTTCTCCGTGGAGGGGCCCCAACAGTGGAATCTGCTCCCAAGGGAGGTTTGCCTGGCACCCATGATAAATTTTTTTCTGGCACCAGGTGAAATCCTTTTTATTTTACCGTCATTTCAATGTTTAGAGGATTTGTACTGGGATTTTATCTTAGTTGGAAGTTGTGCTGCTTTATTACTTTTATTCTTTTCACTGTAAACTGTCCCAAGATGCTTGTGGTGGACAGGTTAGAAAAGTGTTTAATACATAAATAAACAAATGGTTTTTTTTAATTTAACCTAATTTAATTTAATTCAAATTAATTTAACTGTATTTTAAATATTCTCATAAAGATTTCTTATTTTACTGTAATGTTTGGTGAACTTATGGGATTTGTTAATTATGTTATGTGAGGCTAAATTTTATCATGTGCATCTTTTATTTTATTGTTTTATCTATTTCACCTGTTTATTAACTCTTTTATTGTATCTTATGTATTCTATGCTGTTTAGGCCAGTGTAAGCCACCCAGAGAACCTTTGGCACATGGGATGGCATGGAAAGGCAATGAAATAAATAAATGAAGAAATAAATACTTCTGAGCACATAAATGTGGAGCAGCGAGAAAGACCCGATCATCCTTGCTTCCCCTTCCCATTCCCCATATTTTCTCCCAAATCAACCCCTCCTTGACCGCACTACCCCCACATTCACCTCTTGTGTAGATTTGGGCTTCCTCCCTCCTTTACCTGTAACAGAGAAGGCAGTAGCAGAGAAGGGGCTGGACACATCCCACACACATGGACTCAGTCATGGAAGAGATGCCCCCTCCCCAGGATGGCTTACAAGTCCACAAGTCCACAAGTCCATAACTGCTTACAAGAGGCAGTAAGATCCAGGATGAAATTCTTGGAAATTGGAAAACAAGATGCCTTCACATCTTAGTCAGGTCATAAAACCTTGTCCTCTTTTTCCTAGTTCTGAAAGAGAGCTCAACAA